GTACCGTATGATCGAAAAAAGGCGTCAAGTTTCCTTAGGAATAACTTATTGATGACATTCCCCATAGTAATCTTCATTTCAAAACCATGTCTGACGCCATTTTTTTTCCATCGTACTGTACTTGAAAAATCAGTAATTTTATTAAGGCGCCGCAGGTACTTAATGTACCGCGTGATCGCAAAAATCGGCGCCAACTGAGCTTAAAAATGACAATCGACATCTACAGGGTGATTCCTGTAAGTCGGTCATGCTTTCGGGGAATGATAGAAGACGTCGAAATATTAATTTTGATATAGCACTCTATGGGTTGGAAATGCCTCTTACGCAAGATACAGGGTGTTAAAGTTTTTGAAAAATTAAAGATATTCCTTAATAGTTTTTTTAACAGTTGAAGGTATCGTTATAAAATGTTATTATAGAAGTACCTAACAGAGACACTTTAAATGTAAAAAGAAGAAGTTTTAGTTTCAACCAGTGGCATAGATCGCATCTGGTAATTTTTGCAAAAAATAGTACGCCACTGATAAGTAGGCTCAGTGGCGACAGTACGCCACTGAGTTTTTTTTAATTTACTCGGTTTGTTTCCAAGCAAAAATGTCTCTTGCAACTTTCTCCACCATTTTGTCACAGTTTAAAAATAAATACATTTTTTAATGAGTATCTTAAATTCAGCGAATTATTATAACAAGAGATGTGCATTGTCAGCTCCCTTCATCACTTGCAGGTGAATTTAGATATGCCAACGTTTAGCCCCTTAAATACATTTTTAAAAAATTATAAATTTACACAAGAAATTTTTTATTGTTAATAATAAAATTCTTAGTTTTAAGGTAGTTATAATAATTCGCATATTTAAGGTTTTCATTAAAAAAATTACACAGGCCGACAAAAAAAATTTTTTTCGATGTAACACAAAGCTCAATAGGATATTGTGGTAGAATGAACCTATCTAATCACGAAAGTGGCAAAAAAAAAGTCGTAACACGTAAGGTTTTTTTGTTACATTAATAAAACATCATTCAATATTACAATATTCAATATATTAAGATAGCTATTCAAAACATGATTTAAGAACTTCTTAAGCCTATATACCGATTATATTTTATAGTTTACACTCCTCAAACATTACTTATACCTAAAAAGTACAAAAACAATCGAAACGAGATCAAAACATAAACAAAAACTTTTACTTTTTCTTTTTATGAGGGACCGCGTCTTCTCTCTTCAAAAACCAACAGTAATCACCCATCATGGCTGGATCCCATCGTCCTTGATAACGAATTTCCATTGTCCTTATGTCTTGATGGAATCTCTCACCTTGCTCATCACTGACAGCACCCATATTTTCAGGGAAAAATGACAAATGAGAATGGAGAAAGTGAATTTTAAAGACATTCGGGCACCAAGCGATTTATAAGCATCTAAAAGCTCATTAACCAATTGTTCGTAGTTCGCATCCTTATTGTTTCCAAAAAATCCCCTCACTACACTAACAAATGAGGTCCATGCTCTGAGTTCCTGCCTGGTAAGCGTGTCTGTGAAATTTGTGTCGTCCAACAATTTCCTGATTTGTGGTCCAATAAAAATACCCTCTTTCAATTTGGCATCACTCAACTGGGGAAAGACTTGCCTTAGGTATTTAAATCCATCACCTTCTTTATTCATAGCTTTCACGAAGTTTTTCATGAGGCCAAGTTTGATATGAAGAGGAGGCAGGAGGACGTCTTTGGGGTCTACAAGAGGGATATACTTGACATTTTGGGAACCCGGTTGAAATTCACTTCTTTCTGGCCAAATTTTCTGTACATAATGATGATTTACTGCACGACTGTCCCACAAACAAAGAAAACAGCAATATTTTGTAAATCCTCCCTGAAGTCCCACTAAAATTCCTATAACTTTCAAGTCCCCACATATCTGCCATTTATACCTGTTGTAGTTGATTCTATCTAAAAGCATGCGCATATTTTCATAAGTTTCCTTCATTGTCACTGAATGGGCAACTGGTATAGAGGGTTTTAAATTTCCGTTATGCAATAACACAGCTTTTAGGCTATATTTCGACGAATCTATGAATAAGCGCCACTCACAGGGAGAATGTTCTATAGAAAGTTCCTGCATTAAGCCATCGATATCAGTACATGCACACAACGAATCCTCCATACTGTAGAATGCAGAGAACGGAGCATTTCTTTTCTAAAAGTGGTGATTTTTGTTTCATTGGCTAACAGATTCCATTCCTTAAGCCGGGATCCAAGAAGTTCTGACTGCTGCTTTGATAACCCCAAGTCACGCACTAAGTCATTCAACTCGCTTTGAACAATCAAATGTGGCTTGTCGGAACCGCCCTCTGGGGTAAAGGTAGGATCAGTACACTGGTCTCCAGAGCTGTTTGATTCAATATCTTCCTTATCTTCCCAAAACAATACCTTGCCAGTCTAAGGGCGCGATCGGCACTGGGAGATCTGCACCATGAAGAACAGGTCGTATGGCAGACGGCAAATTGGGATACTCGATCTTGTGCTTTTGTTTTTGGAAAAACCTTCAGTTTTCGTCAGGCAAAAATAGCAATCGTCAAAATGGTTAGTTGGTTCTCGCCATACCATTGGAACCGCAAATGGCATTTTTTTCCTCTTCCCTTTCATCCACTGCACAAGCGACACGCTACAAGTAACGCAGCACACATGAGGAGCCCACTGCTTGTCTTGATCTCCAACCAAAACTCCAAAATACTTGAAGTAGGCTTTCTTCACATTTTCAGAAAATGGTCTGGCTTTGTGATTGCACCATAAATTCTCCACAAATGTAACAAAATCGATCAGGAGACACTTTACAACTGCGGCGCGTTTGACTTGACATTTTCGTACTATTTATCTACACGCATAGAACAACTCACGTCGAAAATCAACTGAAAACTGAACTCTCTTATGTTTTCACAATATATTATAGTGCACAAAATGCGTCCCTTTCAATCATCCCATCATAAAATTTACCTGTATGTAAACGAATCTACCTAGACTTAATACCTGACATCTATAAAATTGACTACCTGCAAAAAAGAGGCGTAATTAGGCAACTGAAAAGTGGTACGTGTAGGAGCTTCAGGAGTATTTTTTCTGTTATTAGAAGCATATTTTTATGAAGAAATTCTGCAACTGACTCGTGTTACAAAAATCATGTCGGCCTGTGTTATTTATTTTTAAATTGTGACAAAATGGTGTTAGATAGGAGGAAGTTGCAAGAGACATTTTATCTTGGAAATAAACCAAGTAAATAAAAAACTCTGAAATTTTTATTTTTATCAGTGGCGTACTATTTTTTTTTTGAAAAAATTACCCGATGCATATGACATCTAGGCCACTGGTTGAAACTAAAACCTCTTCTTTTTACGTTTAAGGTGTCTCTGTTAGGTAGACTTCTATAATAAAATTTTATAACGATACCTTCAACTGTTAAAAAACTATTAAAGAATATCTTAATTTTTCAAGAAATTTAACACCCTGTATCTTGCGTAAGAGGCATTTCCGACCCATAGTGTGCTATATCAAAATTAATATTTCGACGTCCCCCACTATTCCTCGAAAGCATAACCAACTTACAGGAATCACCCTGTATACTAATATATAAATCCTGAAGTGACTCACTCACTGATTAATCACGATCCTGCTCAAACCACTCAACGTAAGAAGCTTAATTTTGGCATACAGGTTGATTCTAGGGTGTAGAGGTTCGATAAGAAGGGATTTTTCGAAATTCCAGTTCCAAGGGGGTGAAACCAACAACTCAAATAATACCAGTGAGACCACCCCTCAAATATTACAATATTTTTTATTTAAAAAACGGTCAAGTTTCCGAAAAAACGCTTAAACACGTATATTTTATTTTGTTTTTTTACATATTTTAAGATTTTTTAAAAACGTATACAGGGTGTTTGGAGAAATCTGGACAGTGATTAATCACGATCCTGCTTAAAGTGCTTGAGGTAAAAAGCTGATTTTTGGAAAACGGGTTGACTTTAGGGTGTAGAGGTTCGATAAGAAGGGATTTTTCGAAACTCGAATTCTAAGAGGGTGAAATCACCCCCCTCAAATATTAGAACATTTTTCATTTAAAAACCGGTGAGTTTTTCGGAAAAACTCTTAAACACGTATATTTTATTTTGTTGTTTTACATATTTTAAGTTTTTTTAAAAATTTATACAGGGTGTTTCATAAAATATGACCATTGAGTAATCACGATTCTGCTTAACGTTTAAAGCTGATTTTTGGCAAACGGATTGACTGTGGGGTGTAGATGTTCGATATGGAGGGGTTTCTCGAATCTCAAATTCCAAGAGGGTGAAAACGCCCCTCATATATTACAATATTTGTTATTTAAAAAACGGTTAGTCTTTCGGGAAAACGCTTGGACACGCATAATTTATTTTGTTCTTTTACATATTTTGAAATTTTTAAAAAAAATCATACAGTGTGATCCAAAAAGTGAGGTAATTGATTAACCACGATTCTGCTTAAACTGCTTGACGTAAAAAGCTTATTTTTGGCAAACGGATTTTTCGAAAGTCAAATTCCAACGAGATGAAACTATCCCTCAAATATTACCAAGTTATATAATAACATCGCCATATTGTTTTTTCTCATGCTGACATAAATGTGAGACAATTTTATCCAGTTTATATGTTAATGGAAATTCTTGCTTTGCTTTTATCATCACCATTACAAATGATTAATTCCTTAGATTAACAATAAAAATTAATTCGACGCGAACGAAGTCACAGGGGGTACGCTAGTTTACCATATAAAATTACAGCGCTCTTCATTTCCAAACCAACTCTGACGCATTTTTTCCGAGGCAACGGCCCGTTTACGTCGAAACACTGGTTCCTGATAGATCACTGAAGTTAAGCGACGTTGCGAGTAGACGGACAGTCCTGGAAACTCTGTGTTGCTGTTGTTCCATGACAACTTTTTTGATCTGATAACGGTATAAAAAAATCAATATAAATCAAAATTGTATATTTCAATTACAAAATTAATCTACAACACTGATTTTCATTATCTCACATAAAAAACATTTGCTTAGGTCATCTAAATTGATTACCTATGCTAGGTAATTCATTCTTATACTCTCTTTACGTTAACAATATTTCCAATCTAAATTGAATTCAACCAACGTAAGTAATCCCTAAAACAAAATACATTTTTATCTTTGTTTTTTTTCTGTAAAAAATATAAAATATCTAAAAATTTAGATACTACATCCATTTATTATTTTCAAAAACAGCAGGTTTTTATAGTTTTCTATAATTGATGTTATATCACAAAATTTACTTTATATGACAAATTTAACTGGTACAAAATCTGTCACAATAAAGTCTATCTAATGCCGAAATACAGGGTGGTACGAACTGTATTCCGGAAACTTCAGCAGCATATTCTGCAGAATAAGTAAAAAAGTTCGTATAACTGTATGTCCTAAAATGCTTAGTTTCGGATATACAAGGCGTAGAAGTTTCATTTTTATTTCGATTTTTTTGAAATAATTTCGGAAGTAACGTCAATATTTGGATGATAACTGGTATCAGGAAGTTTTTTAACATGAGAAATTTGATTTTGATGTCAATATGACTCCTATTTGTAGAGGGCGCCACCTACATATTTTTAACTGGTTTGAAGACTAATAACTTTTCGTCCTTACCTGTATAAAACTATTGAGTAAAAAAAATGTACATTTACGATGTTTTTTACTTAAAAAGTCTTGGGAAAAATCGCTACGAGTAATGGTTCTCGAGATATTTGGAATCTAAATTATCAATACGTCACCATTGACATAAATTGTTGACTAAAGCCGGAGTCTCGTGCATTCGAAATCCGATGACACGACGATCCGACGGTGCTCCTATTGGCCGAAATATTTTGACACCAATTTTTATCCGATAATTTTAACTAATCGTCCGACGTCGTATAAAGTTAAATTTTGTTTAACTTTTGTACGATATCGTGTGTTTTTTAAACCTCACTTTTTTTGAAAACATTTGTTTTTAAAAACAAGTTTAGTGGGAAGTGGGCAATTTCGGAATATTTGGCGAGGAAGTTATTTTTATAAGTGTTTCTCCAATAAAACATGACATGAATCTCTATTCAGTGCAGCAGAAAAATGTCTAAAGTGTCAAATTTCGGAATAAACTTTCGGATGTATGTGACAGGCTTTTTTTATTTCACAGGATAACTTCAAATTTCGGATGTCGTACCATCGGATTTCGGATGCATGAGATTCCGGCTTAAATAGCTATTAAACTGAAATCATAAATTTGAAATGGTTTTGTGCCAAAAGTTCAACAGAAACTGTTCTATCATCATTTCGAATGGTAATATGGTAATATAAAGTGACTTTCATTTTTTTATAGATTGTTATTCGTCTAATTTTAATTAACATAACACTTTTTGCTGTTTTAAAATGTTAAAGAAGTACAAAATTTATTTACTTCAATGCTACGGTAAGGGTGACAATAATTATCGGAAATATGATACTTTAACAACAGCAAAGAATATGATGTTAATCAAATTTAATAATAACCATCTATCAAAGAATGAAACCGAAATTATATAACCATAGAAACGCCTTTTGATGTTTAGAACTTTGAAAAAATTCAACCATATTTTCATGTTTTTCTTAATTTTCTCTAAAACGGTATGAAAATCTGGGTTGGGTAAAAAAATATAAACGGGATTAACCGTTTTAGAACAAGCAAATTTTTTTTAAGAATACATTTTTCTCAAAATGTCAATAAAAAAGGTTTTCCCTCTTGTAAAGACAATCGGAGACATACTGTATAGTGACTATTTTCATTCTAACTATCTTGTGAACGGTTGCTGGTAGCGAATTTTACCAAGAGACCTTTTTTACGTAAAACACGTCTTAAATGTATATTTTTTTACTCAGTGTTTTAAACAGGTACGGAAGAATAGTTATTAACTGTTCAAGCCAGTTAAAAAATATGTAGGTGGCGCCTTCTACAAGTAGGAGTCATATCGACATAAAAATCAAATTTCTAATGCCAAAAAAAACCCAGATAGGTACCAATTTTCAACCAAATATTGACGTATCTTCAGAAATTATTTGGAAAAAATCTAAATAAAAATGAAACTTCTACACCTTGTGTCTCCGAAACTAACTTCTAAACTAAACTGTTCGTCCGCGTGTTTTTTCAAGATAGCCGTCGGACGAGATCATCCGGACGGAGCATGTGAAATTGTTCATATAAACTCATGGTACTTGCTCGAAGTCACGGACGGTCCGCTCCATCTGAAAGCGCTGTAAGCATTTTGGGACATACATCTATACGAATTTTTTTACTTATTTTTATCTACAGAATATGCTGCCAAAGTTTCCAGACTACAGTTTGGACCACCCTCTATATTACGCAGTATAGCAGTTACCATTTTTATTTAAAAATAAATTGACTATACAGTTTTTTGACAAAATTTACTAAAACTGTCATGTACTTAACATCAAATTTTCTTTATATAAATTTAAAACTTAGCCAATGCTTAAATAATAAAAAAAAGCAGTATTTTCAACAACTAACTTTTCAGTAAATAATACAAATACGTTTTAAACGTATTTGAAATAATATGACACGAATGATTGCTGAGAGACAACTACAAATAATTATTCTTTAATTGCAAATCACTTTTTATATACTAATAAATTATTTGGTTCATACAGGGTTGTTCACGCTATTCGACACCGGCGTATTGTAGCCAAATGGTTAATTAATAAAGTTTGAATTATTGAAAATCCAAAGAAATAACTAAAAATGGCGTAATAAAATTTGATAGACAATTATATTGTGCATCTGATTCAAGTGAAACATACAGGGTGTTCCATTTATATTAAACAAGTTATTGTCGTTTTTATTTATAATATTTTTTGACGCTCTGTATAAGGTAGCATTAGTTTTATTAATGCAACACAATATTTAGTAAATAGAAAAACTTAAGTACAATATTTGGCTTTAAAAAGTTAAATACGCCTAGAGAAATAAAGCATTAAAATTATTATTACTCCATTTTCCACAAAATCGTAAATATTTCAAAAGAGACCTTAATCAAATTTACCTTTATTTTAATCGTAGAAACTAAAAATATAATAATATACAGGGCGTTCAATTTAAAAAAATTCAATTTTGATATTATTTATTTATACAGGGTGCTACAAATTCGAAGTACGAGCATTGGTATCTCGAAAATTGGGGCAAAGTTGCGCCTTGGGATGTTCACCAAGATGCCATTAAAAAAGTTTCAAAAATTTCAAGGATTGCTGAGTTTTTTGGAAAAAAACTGGTTTTTTTGAAAATCTATTTTATTTTTTCCTGTCGTTATTTTTTAGAAAATCAAAAAACTAATTACACATTCTCATAGCCACTTTATTATGTCTATCTGGCAGTATTTTTAGATTTTTAAATTAGCTGACAATTTGTGAGATACAGAGGCCAACTTAATTTTTTTAAATACGGACCTGCATTTTTTATTTCAGATTTTGAAAGAACTCGATCTCCTGAGTACAATGATATGCCACACTTAATATTTTTTTTGTTTTGACATTTGAACACAATTTATTTAAACTAATTTCAAGTCCGGCTCTGTTTTTTTTTCAATATTTAATCTATTCATCGATACAGTACTGATAAGGTTTCAAACTTAACAATGTGGGGTAAAACATTGTATACGGAAAATCAAATGCAATAAAATAATATAAAATAAAAAATAATTAATATAAATATAATATAATATAAACAATCAAATCATTTTCCCGGAAGATGGATTGGAAATGGTGGAGCAATATAATGACCAGCGAGGTTCCTGGACCTATCCCCAAGGGGCTACATTACTTGACGTCATTTGTAAAAGTGAAATCAATTCATCTCAACATTTACAATAAAGGTAGGTACAAAATGCATTCGGAAGTATAAGAAGAAAGTTCAAAAAGCTACAAATAAAACTGAACAAAAAATAAGTTTATAGGTATATAGTTTTAATATGTGCAATATAGGCTGGGTGGTAACCCTTTCGAGCACATAGAACATTAGAAACTAGTTTGTAAAAGTTGATTAATTTATAATAACTACGTTTAATATTATACATATTATTAGATCGCACACTGAGATTTCAAATTCACAATAAAAAAAGTTAAAAATAATATCTTTGAATTTCTGACCTCGATCTTATTTATTTCAATCTTCCAATTGGCTCGATTTTCCTTATTCAATGTTAATTAGTGTTGATCAATATTGTTGCGATGAATATAATCAGATTAAATAATTTAAGAAACCAGAGTCGGACTTGAAATTATTTTAAATAATAATTAAATAGTTTTGTTGCTGTTAAGATACCCAAAACAAAAAAAAGTATAAAGTGTAGCACATCATTGTATTCAGGAGACCGAGTTCTTTCAAAACCTGAAATAAAAAATGCAGGTCCGCATTTAAAAAAATTAAGTTGGCCTCTGTATCTCACAAATTATCAGCTAATTTGAAAATCTAAAAATACTATCAGATAGCCCTAATAAAGTGGCTATGAGAATACATAATTAGTTGTTTGATTTTCTAAAATGTAACGACAGGAAAAAATAAAAAAATCAGTTCTTTTCCAAAAAAACTCAGCAATCCTTGAAATTTTTAAAACTTTTTTGATGGCATCTTGGTGAATATCCCAATACGCAACTTTGCCGCAATTTAACCATGTTCGTATCTATTACGGTTACCGAGATACCAATACTCGTACCTCGAATTTGTAGCACCCTGTATGCTGAAAATAATTTTAAATTATAGCTTTCTAGCTAGTCCTTCAATGATCCCATCAGATACAATACTCCGTGTCGAATAGCGTGAACAATCCTGTATACAGGGTGATTCTTAACCTATGCGCATAAACTTGGCAAATTATTGCTGATGACAAATAATGATTAATAATGAAAAAAAGTGTCAGTAAAATATTTTTAGATTCCGAAATAATTTGAGTTTTTTTTCACAAAAATTTATCAACTTTATCAGTAAATGCACATTCAATTTAATGGAATTAACGTTTTTTGTTTTTATTTCAAATAGTTTATCTCCGTAAATAAAAATATTTTACGAACTTTTTTTTTCATTATTATAGTTCAGTCATTGGCGATCAAAAAAG